CGAATGCGTTACTCTTTCCTCCTAGTTGTAGGACTTCCACTCAGCCAGCGTTCCTGTGGTTCTGGATGATGTCCCTTCCGTCTTTTAGTTTCACTTTTGAAATGGTTGTTCGAGGCGGCAAACTCCGGCGTTAACCTATGCCGCCATCTTGGTTCCTCCTCCTAAAAACTTTTTCAAACTCACAACTGTATGCTACCTGAGTTCTAGATCTAAAATTCTTAAGGTATTATTTTGCTATGTTGTATCTTCTTTTTATTTTCAAAAATTTTTTTTTAGATGTTTTTGGTATATAAGTACAGCCCAGGTTATACATATAGTACCCAGATTTCTAGTGTGCTGAATGATAATTGTTTTTACTAAATTTGCAGATGGATTCAGTGATGAGAACAATGATGATCGAGTATTAAAATGCTGTCTTCAATACCAGGAATTATTCCCTAGTTCTCTTGTTATTCTGTGCACGTGAGTTTCGTGGTCATTTTATTCTTTTTTTAAAAAGTAGCAAAAATTGGCCCTAACCTGTCTGGCTTAGTGGATAGTGTCAGCCTGTGGACTGAAGGGTTCTGGGTTTGATTCTGGTCAAAGGCACATGCCCAGGCTATGGGCTCGATCCCCAATGTGGGGCTTGCAGGAGGCAGCCAATCAGTGGTTCTGTCTCATCATTAATGTTTCTATCTCTCTCTCTCCCTCTCCCTTCCTCTCTGAAATCAATAAAAATATGTTTAAAAAAAGTAGCAGATTGTACCAAAGAATTCTTAAAAATCATACTGAATCTATCATACCAACGATTAAAATAATGTATACTTTATAAGTCTGCCAGTAAGCATATTCAATTATATTTCATGTTCTTTTTTTGAATTTTATAAGGTTATTTGAGCCAAACTGATGACATATGCTGGGGACCAAGATTCCTCTTTTATTTTTCTTATTGAGGTATAATTGACACATAGCATATTAGTTTCAGGTGTACAACAATGATTTGATATTTTTTATATTATTAAACAATCACCAAATTAACACATCCATCACCATACATAGTTATAAAAGATATTTTTTCTTGTGATGAGGACTTTTAAGATCTATTCTCTTAGCAGTTTTTGAATATGCAGTACAGTATTATTAACTACATTCACCATGCTGTACTATCTCACATTTTTGCTATGAAAGAAAGATTGAAATCTCAAGTAGATGAAGTTTCATTTCAGTTTAATTTATATATAATATTAAAAAAACTTTTGAAAAGCAGAGAAATACCAGTTTAATATCCCAATGAAATAGTTTAGAAATAAGACTGACATTTTTTGGTTATGAGGCAAGAAGGTTAATTAATTGGTACCTGAGAAAGGGGTCATTTATGTTGTAGTTGTGTCCTTGGTGCCTGGATTGGAGTCCTGGATCTACCACTTATCAGCTCTGTGACTTTGGAAGGTTGCTTAACTTAGTTTCCTCTACGTAAAATAGAGAGAAAATACCTGCCTCGTGAGGTTATTGCATTTAATCACATAATATATATATATGAAGGGCTTAGTGCCTGGTATACAGTGTGATCTCAGAGGTTTTTTCCTTTTTCTCTTCTTCCTCGCTTTCCTCCATTCTCAACTGATATTTTCATAACTTAGCTCTGCGTTGTGAAACTACGATAATGCTAACCAAGATGCATTCATCATGTATTTTAAAGGCTCTGGGAAGCATTTATTGCAGTCTGTTGAGGTCTTGCTTCCAGGCATATACTCTGTTTAGCTCAAATAAACTTTAAAAATTCAAAAACACAAGAGAGCGAAAAGGCTCTGAAAGAACTGAGAAGAACAGTTTTAATCTCCTGTTTTAGTCTGAATTTTAATCACTGCAAAACAGTTTTTACAGTTCCATGATCATGCCTAAATTCTCTGAAATGGAGTCATTATGGAAATGAATGGCTCTAAGATTTTTCTTGTAATGGGGCTTGGTCAATTATTATTTTAGCTCTCTCTAGCTCTCTTTTGGTGCTAAAGGAAACATCACAGATTTCTATCTCTAGGTTTTAAATTATTTGTTTTTTTTTAAATCTATAACATTTCATCTCAGAGTTTGTTGAAGGCTGAAATAGAATTATTAACATGCGAATTATTTTGAATTTAGATTAGCTAAATTTGAGCACTCAATACATAATAATTATTCTCTAAAGCTCATATGATGTGATTCTATTGTGTGTTAATTCTTTTATTTTCTTTACTTAAAAAAATTGGTCTCTTGGTAATATATATGCTGAGAATTACAAACCTCTGATTTAACCCTATGTATTTTGAGTTGCCAGGTGAGCGATTTAGCTTATAAAAAAGTAAAAAATAAAATATTTTTTTCTCTTTAACCAACCTTAGGGATGATAGAAATTTAAGAAACAAAGGCCTAATAAGTGGTGTGAAGTCACTCAGTAAAGAAGAATTGAGTACAGAGTTCTTAAATTTGTCTCTGAACACAGTTACATGTCAGCAGCCATGTGTATCTAAGCAACAATTGAAAACAGGTAATATTATTATGAATAACTAGAAATGTATCTTATTTTATATACTAAGATTATTGATAACAGTTGTAATTACATAGAAAAATTTTATCTTGTACATTTAAAATAATATTGGAATATTTGCTCACATAGATGTTAGAGATGAATGAAAATTGTAATGGTAATACAAAAGAAAACATAACAGTATTGCCTTCTACATATACTTTTATAAATTAACTTGAATGTTTATTGTTCACACACAGTTTACATATTTATAATTATTTTGTGCATACTATTTTGTAACTTGCAGAGTATACTTTTTAAATTAATAATGGCTTTGGGACATACTCATTTGAAGTAGAAATATTTAGTTTTATTTATTTTTTAAAAAAATATTTTTATTGATTTTAGAGAGGGGGAGAGAGAGAGAGAGAGAGAGAAACATCAATGGTGAGAGAGAATCATGGATCAGCTGCCTCCTGCATGACCCTCATTGGGGATGGAGCCCACAACCGAGGCATGTGGCCTTACTGGGAATCGAACTTTGACCTCCTGGTTCATAGGTTGATGCTCAACCACTGAGCCACGCTGGCTGGGCTTTAGTTCCTTTTTAAAATTAGCTTCATATTCATAAACTTCTATTATTACTGTAAAAACTCAATAATAGAAAAACTTGGCTCTAGTACTAGTTCTTTTTAAATTAATAGTTAAGAAAGCTAAAGGCTTTTTTTCCCCCTGACCAAAATAATCTCTTTTTCCCCAGAATAATCTCTTATAATATAGTGTGATATGTGATGGAGTATTATATTAAGCCTGACATAATTTAAAAACACATACTACCTTTTCCTTCTGTAGGGCAAATAATTATTGAAATCTCTAATATTGTCTATACTTTTATATAAAACGGTACAAATTCATACATACATTTGCTACTTATTTGACCTTTCTGATAGTAAAATTTCTTTAGTCATAATATTCAAAATAGCATTTAGAAGGAATAATAGGACATGTTAGTTTATAGTTTTTTGGGGGTACCATGCTTTTATTTTGCCCATTATATTACTATTATTTTAAATACCTAGTTTGTGTTTGTAGAGATAAGCCAGTTAATATTTTGAGTTTTACAATAAATTATAGTTGTTTGGGGTATCAATTAAATGATATAAATTAAAATAATAAAACTCATTTTAAAAGGGTTGGGCATAAAGGTAGTTAAATCAGAGATTTTGGTCCTTTCAAAACAGTTTATTGACATGAGCTTCAATTGGAAGGATATACTATTTTTTGGAAGAAAACACATTTTGATCCATACTTCTTAATTTTCTATTGTATATAGAATCAAAGCATTCTCATTATTTTTCTTTTTGAAAATATTAAAATCAAAATTATAGTTAAAATATCACACACATTCCTTTTCTTTTGTTTAATCCTCACCTGAGGACATTTTCATTGATTTTTAGAAAGAAGGGAAGAGAGGGAGGGAGAGAGAGAGAGAGAAACATTGACCAATTGCCTTCCGAATGCACCCCAGCTGGGGCCAGGGATCAAACCCAAAACTTAGGTATGTACCCCTACTGGGAATCGAACCCGTGACACTGTATGGATGATGCTCCAAACAACTGAACCACACTGGCCCTGGCCACACACATTTCCTAAATTTTTATTTCATTGATGCTATTTAGTTGCCTTTTGTCAAAAAGATAAAGCATTTGCTAATATAACATGGTTTATGTTGAATCAAAAACAACTATACTAGAGATAAGTTTCTAAATACTGATTTTAAAATAAAGTATTGGTTCCGACCCTTGTAGCTCAGTGGTTGAGCGTCAACCTATGCACCAGGAGGTCATGGTTAGATTCCTGTCTTGCCCCGGTTGCAGGCTCAATCCTAGTAGAAGGTGTTCAGGAGGCAGCAGATCAATGATTCTCTCTCATCATTGATATTTATTTATTTTTAATTCTCACCTGAGTATATTTTTCCACTGATTTTTAGAGAAAGGGAAATACAGAGAGAAATATCGATGTGAGAGAAATACATGCATTGCTTGCCTCCTTCACGAGCCCCAACCAGGGCCCGGGCTGGAAGAAGCCTGCTACTGAAGTACGTGCCCTTGACTGGAACCAAACCAGGACCCTTTGGTCCGCAGGCCAACGTTCTATCCACTGAGTCAAACCGGCCAGGGCTCATCATTGATATTTCTCTCTCTCTCTCCCTTCCTCTCTGAAATCAATAAAAATATATTTAAAAAAAACTATTAGTTTTATAGGTAATTAAAATACTAATTATATACATAAAATGCTTATTATTATTGCCAAATACTAACTACATATGTAAAATATTTACTGTTAGTGTCCTAAAAAAAGCTT